AATCACATCCTCTCGAAGATATCACATCACCAAAACAAGCACAAAATGAAGGTTTACATGCCTATTAATCAAAGATAAAGGCTGAAAATTGGAACCGTGGCCACAACACAATTTTGCAAGCAAAAATTGGCAAGGTTTGCCTGTGGTAACTGATTACCACTTTGCTAGGCAAAGTAGGGTAATCGGTTACCCTGTGTAAAAATGAAGTTTTTGTTGCATTTTTGTGACAATAACTTTCACTCTACATTTTGAGGGTCTACTTGGTTCTAGTATTGTGTGGAACATTCTAGATATCTCTAGATAATTCAAAACCTTTCTAAATACTTCAAGGCATTTAATCCAATACATCAATTTGGATTAAACCCACCATGTTGCTTCATTCCCAAGCATGTGAGCCCTTAGATTCAAGTTTACATTGGGATGGTTACCGAGTCAAATACCTAACTAACTGAGTCATCCTCTAACTCAGTGAGTTGAGGCTAACTAACTCCAAGGCTAGTTCCAAGGCTACATCCAAATCTCAATCCGTACCTAGCAACTCTGAAGCAAAACTCTATATAAGCAAATCTCCACCATTACACAAGGGGCTTGAACCATTCTCAATCATCTTCTCAATCTCCACATTCTTCACTCTCAATTCTCTCACACTCTCTCTTAATCTTCTATAACATTTTCACATTCATCTTCACCCTCTCCTAAAAACCCTCACAAAAGCTCAATTTCCATCATTAGAGTGCAGCAATCTTCACACCAAAATTGTTATTCTCTTGTGCTAAACCTTATTCCACCATATTCTTACTTGTATTTCTAGATTTACAGTAGATTCCTCTCCAATTCAAGTAATCATCTCAAGCTTCTTCGGTGCAAATCTGTATTCGGAGCATTTATCGTGTTTTTGTCGATCTCGCTACGATTTGATCTCAATCTTGGAATTTTCTGGTTTTCTTTGCTTATTCTCATCACATATCAATAGCAACAATCACCAATCCAATCCTCCGCCTTGTAAGTTGGTAATTCGCACTTGATTTACTGTTTAGATCACTTTCGCGCGTTTACGATGTAGTTCGATCATTTTTCGGTGTGGATTGATCATGTGATTGTTTGATCTTTGATCTTTATGTTTAATGATTTCAATTGATGTTTAATTGTTGCCTAAGTGATTTTGAACTTCATTTTTCATGTACAAGTGTTAATCATAGCATGTGAATGATTGGATAAGTGTTTTGGTTGCTGAAAGTGCTTTTTTAAAAAACTGTTTTTGCCACTGTTACAGTGGTAACCGATTACCTATATGTGGTAACCGGTTACCTATATGTGGTAACCGGTTACCCTGCACAATTTTCACGTGTTTTTGCAATTTTTAAGCAGGTAATCGATTACCTGCATGTGGTAATCGGTTACCACAGTGACAAAATGCCATTTTTGCCTATTTTCAAGCTTGTTTGCTATTCTTTCCTCATGTAAATTCCATGGCTTGATATGCTTGGTATTCGTGGATGTTTTATGAGTTGTTCACCTCTTGTTTGAAGCATGTATGCAAACCTTCAATGTGCAGTTTGTCGATTCTCGATTATTTTCATTTTTTGACATTGTATGATTATGGTCTTTCTTACACATTCTTTGATCACGTACTACATGATTTGCGATTCATACTAATTGTTTTGGTACTGTTTTTCAATTCCATTCATGTTTGCATTAAGTTTGTTCCTCATTAGAATGAACTTAATCTTGAATAATTAATAACTCATACTTTGCTTTAATAATTTTTACATCTCTTTGGAAAATTGTTAGTATTTTCCCCTCTTGATTGATTAATCAAAACTTCATTTCGATTAGTCGATCCTTCTCTTTTCTTTTCCTTTAGATCTTCTAGAGCTTTGTCATCTCTTTCCCCCCATGGAGTTGAAGATTCACAATGCATTGGAGCACTGTACAAACTTGGCGATGTTGTGTTGTTCGTTCGTTTCTTGCACCGCACTTTGGTGTTAGAGGAGCAATGAGAGTGGATAATTCCTACACTCATTCTGACTATTTTGGGTAGGGGACGAATGAATCTGTTCCTAGAATAGTCTCCTCTATCCCCTTAGTGTGGTATCCCTGTTTCTCCAGTCGATTTGATTCTTGGTCACTTGCACCCTTATCTCCTCTTTGGAAGTGACTCTCGCCTTTCAATTTAAAACTATTTTCTCTTGAGGCCAATCCATTCTTGGTTCCCCAGATATTTGTAATCACTCATTTCCTTGATTGATCAACCGTTTTTTTGGTTAAAACCAATTCTCTTCTTCCTTAGCAAAGTCAGTCTTTCTTCTTCGGCTAACATTGTCTTCTTGTTCAAACCTAATCCCCATCGGCGTTCTCAAACTTCTCTTAGTTCTCTCTCCTTCTTGTTTGGTTAATCAATGCCTGGCAGTTAAACACAAGTTTGGTTTTTTCCTTAGTTAATCACAATCCATCTGTTAATGCTGAATTTTCCTTGGGTTAATCGCCTTCTTCCAGCTAATCACCCGATCTTTGGTTGATCACGGTCCGCCCGTTAAAACCAGCTTCTCTTTGGGTTAATCTCCTTCCTCCGGCTAATCAACCGATCTTTGGTTGATCACGGTCTTCCCGTTAAAACTAGCTTTTCCTTTGGGTTAATCGCCTTCTTCCGGCTAATCACCTGATCTTTGGCTAATAACGGTTTGCCCGTTAAAACCAATTTTCTTTGGGTTAATCACATTCTCTTGGTTAATCACCCACCTTTTGGTCAATTACAGTCCTCCTGTTTGAACCAATCATCTTTTTTCTCAGTTAACCACAGCCCGTCTGTCAAGCACCTTCTTTTGGTTAATCACCTTCTTTTGGTTAATCACTCATTCTTTTCGGTTAATCACAGTCCCTCTGTCAAGCACCAAAACCCCTGCAGTTAGAAACCTTTCTTTTGTTCAATTACTTCCAGCTTTGGGTTAGTAACCCTTGTTGGGTCGAATACCCTTTCCTGTGGTCAAGTGATGTTTGTTCAGTTAATGTACCATTCTTTGGATCACAACCGTCGCTTGGTTCCACACCCGTTCTTTGGGTCACAACCTTTGCTTGCTTCCACACCCGTCTGTTGGTTGATCATCGTCTATCGGTTAAAACCAACTCCTTTCTCCTTCCGGTTAACCACTGTTTATCAGTTAATATACCAATTTCCCCTCAGAGTCAAACACCTCCCTTTGGTTCAATACTCTCTTTGTCTTGGTTCGTCGCAAAACGTCTGTTGACACCAATCCTTTTTGCTCTTCCCACAAAGTTTTACTCTTATCTTTCTTCAGTTAATCACGACTTACCAGTTAATGCACTGAATTCCTCGTGGATCTTACCTTTATTTTGATTCTTGTCCTTTACTCATTTATTCTCTTGGCTTCGACGCCATTCTTTTGTTTTCTCCCAAGTGGAGTCATCTCTTTTCTTCTGCATTCCCCAACAAAGTTCTTGACTCGCTTCTCCGTTCCTCAGCAGAGTTTTCATTCGTATTCTTTCTTGGTTTTGACACCATTCCTCTTGCATTCCCTAGTTGGGTATTGCTTTCTCTTTTATCTCTTGGCTTTGACACCGTCTCTTTTTCCTTTCCTCTTAGCATTGGTTCTCTGAACTACGTAGGCTTTGATTTCCTCATTGCACTATGAGGGTACGTAGGCACAAGATTTTGAAATCTTGGCGAGCCACCTTCCTCTATCTTCTTTCGTTCTTTTGTCTCTCTAGTCCTCCCAGATCATCCTTTTCTTTCTTCCTTAGTTCCTCAAACTACGGAGCTCCGAATTCCACATTGCACTATGAGAGAACGTAGGCACGAGAGCCCCAATCCTACACGAGCACTTTCTTTCTTTCTCTCTCTTTTCCTTCCTTTTTTAGCTAGAATTCTTAGATAGATAACCCATCCAAGCCTAGAAGCAAGCGAAATGGTTCCCGTTGGGTACGACGGATGCTTAAGGTGCTAGTACCTTCCTTTCGCATAACTGACCCCCTTTCACGTTTCTCTTCCCTTGGATTTTATCGATATTTTCCCTGTCCTTTGGGACTAAATAAAGTTTCGTGGCGACTCTGTTGTATCTTTGAGTGTGCGATTCACTCAGGTATAATCCCGCTAGCTTTAGGTAGAGACTCTGTTGGGGACATCCTTGCTCTTGCAGGTTAGAGTCTCGCCTTACTTTGTTTGTTTCCTGGCTAGCTTGGACTCCCCAACTTCAGCTGGCGACTCTGCTGGGGAGTCCTTGCGCTTGCAAGTTGGGGTATCAGCTAGTTTTGCTTGCTTTTCTTGCTTGTTTGGGTGTTTATCTTTATGTTATTTATTGCATTTCTTTACTACTTTAAATATGCATATGTTGCATACTCTGGATATCTACTATATTCTGCTGTTGTTGGGATGGGTAGATATTATTAGAGAAATAAGTCCTAACACCAGGCTTGAGCATACATTTAAGATAGAACGTGGATAGTCGTGACACATGCGTTTTGCGCGTTGGGTTGTCATGAGAGCCACATCCCAGATCGTGATTCTCTTGAGAATACTTCCGTCTTGCGAGAATTTGCTACGAAAGTGTAATACCCAAATTTTTACCCCTAAGATACCACATTTCATTTGCATTTTTGCATACACAAACAAGGCCATACTTTTTGGTTCTCTCAGCGCACTTGTGTTTTCTACTTGCTTTATGTTTATTTCTGTTTACTAACCTCTAACCAAAATACCAAAAAATATTTTTCAATTTGTTGGTTTCTTCTTCTTCTCTGTGTGTTTAGGGTTTGGCAAGGAGATTGATGGCAAAGACATTCATTCAAGTTTAAATCAGAGGGATGTAAGGACTTCTTCACTTTTAAAGAGAGAAGCTGATATTAAAAATTCCCTGGTTTCTGTGAATAGTCAATTTCAATCTCTAGTTGGTGTGGAAGAAGAAAGTGAACCACATATTTTGAGAAGTAAAGCACTATTGGCTGCACATGTTAAGCCTTTTTTAGAATTAGAATCCTGTGATATTATGCTGTCTCCTGCTGATTGTTCTGTTGTGATCCCCTCAAGTAAATTTCATACTCTTGCGGATTTTATAAATTCTGGGAATTCCATTTCTGAGTATATCTGGAAAGTTGGAGGATTATTGGATGACCATTCTTTTTTTATTTGGAAAGTAGGTGTTATAGATTCTTTTGTTGATGCATGCATACATGATGTAGCTTCGGCAGTCGAGCAAAATCTAGGCTTTGACCAGTCACTCAATTTTATGAAGAAAAAGCTTGAAATCCAACTTCGAAAACACATTAGTCACTATTTGAAAGAAAGAGTTGCCCCTAGTTTGTTGGCCTCTTTAGATAGAGAAAAGGAGAACTTGCAACAATTAACAGATTCATCAAAGGAACTTGCTTTAGATCAAGTGAAAAAAGACGGGGCAGTGAAGAAGGTTTTACATATGCTTGAAGAATATTGTAATGCACATGAAACGGCTAGAGCAACAAAGTCAGCAGCTTCTCTCATGAAAAGACAAGTGAGTGAGTTGAAAGAAGCTCTTCGAAAAACTACCCTTGAGGCAGTTCAGATGGAATGGATGCATGATGCTAGTTTGAACCCATCATATAACAGGAGAATCACATATGAGAAGTATCTTGATAATGATGACAGCTTGTATCCAATCATTTTAAACCTCATCAGATCTAAGTTATTGGAAAATTTACAATCTGCTATTTCAAAAATCACATCGTCATTGGATAGCCTCCAGTCTTGCGAACAACCTTCTCTTATAGCTGAAGGACAGCTTGAGAGAGCAATGGGCTGGGCCTGTGGGGGCCCAAGTTCAAGTAGTTCTGGAAATACCTCTACTAAAAATTCCGGAATTCCTTACGAGTTCCATGAACATATTAAGAAACGGAAGGAGATTTTATGGGAATCTAGAGAAAAAGCATCAGACATTGTGAAGTTATGCATGTCAGTATTAAAGTTTGAAGCATCAAGAGACGGGCATTTGCTTATACCAGGGCAACCATATCCCTCTAGGAGTGGTGTTGAAGGAAATACATGGCAGCAACTGTACTTGAATTCATTAACAAGATTGGATGTTACTCTCCATTCTTATACACGTACTGAACAAGAGTGGAAGCTTGCTCAATGCACTGTTGAAGCTGCTTCCAATGAGTTATATGCTGCAGCCAACGAACTCGGCATTGCCTCTCTGAAAGCAAAATCAGCTTCTGGTGACTTACAAAGCACTGTTCTTTCAATGAGGGATTGTGCGTATGAGGCAAGTGTTGCTTTGTCTGTTTTTGCTCAGGTTTCAAGGATGCATACTGCTTTAACTTCTGAGTGTGGTTCTATGCTTGAAGAGGTTTTAGCAATAACTGAAGATGTACACGATGTTTACAATCTGGGGAAAGAGGCAGCTTCAATCCACCTTTCACTCATGGAAAATCTTTCAGAGGTGAATGCCATCCTTTTTCCACTTGAATCCGTGTTGTCTAAGGATGCAGCTGCTATGGCTGATGCTATAGCTAGGGAAAGTGAGACCAAGGAGGAAATATCACACATCCATGGACAAGATATATATCAATCATACTGTTTAAGGATCAGGGATTCTTGTCAGACCTTTAAGCCCTTGGTGCCATCTCTGACATCAACTGTGAAGGGACTTTATTTGTTGTTAACTAGGCTAGCAAGAACAACTAATCTCCATGCTGGGAATCTGCACAAAGCTCTTGAAGGAATAGGAGAAAGTCAGGAAGTAAAATCACAGGATATTGCTTTGTCCACATCAGATGCTGGTGGTGGTGATGCTGTTGAGTTTGATGGTAAAGAAGGGGAGAGTCTCTCAAGGTCTGATGATGATAAGACAGATGATATTATTGGCTTTTCTCGACTTTCTTTGGAAGAAAAAGGATGGATATCACCACCAGATAGCAGCTTCTGTAGCAGCTCAGGATCGGACATTACATCTGCTGAAGTTAGTCTTTCTGATTGCTTCAATGATTCAGCAGAAAATACAGATATGCTTTCACAGGTGTCTAGTAGCAGAAACCCTACCAGTGATTTACATACCACTTCCTTGTCTCAAACTGATGTTGAAGAAATCTCACTTTTTGAGGTGCCAAAGTCTTTTCCTCTGGAAGTTGATCTCAACGATGCTGATTCTGTCAAGTTAACTTACGAGGCCACCGAACTTCTCGCTACGCCTTTTCCCAGTCATAAATCTGTTGCCAGGTCCGCTGTCTCGCATAATCCATCAACTGAGAACTTAGACAAATTTGATGGTAAAGATGATCTACTTTCTATAAATAAAGCTAAGAATGGCACAGAACACCTAGAAACTCCCGATGCTGACATCAATACCAGTACTCGAATAGGAAGGGGCAAAAATGCTTATGCCTTGTCAGTATTGAGGCGGGTTGAGATGAAAATTGATGGTCGAGATATTTCTGAACGCAGAGAAATTAGCATTGCAGAGCAAGTAGATTATCTACTAAAGCAAGCTACTAGTGCAGATAATCTTTGCAACATGTACGAAGGTTGGACACCATGGATTTGAGGTTTCAAGAGGTTTCTCATACTAGAACATTTTACACTGAAGTCTCATTCCTAATATCATGCAAGAACTGATCTCGGGCATTGTCAGTTGATCAAGGTGTATGCAGGTGGTTCTACCCACAAAATCTTAGCAACTTGACTTTTGATGTGGCTGCCCTTGGCATGGCTCTATGTGAGCCATTAGATTTGGTTAGGTTATACTTGTCCAGAGCAACCTTGGTAGTTGTTCCTGCAAACTTGATCGATCATTGGAAAGCACAAATAGAAAAGCATGTTAGTCCTGGTCAATTGCAGGTTTATGTTTGGAAAGATCATCAGAAACTATCTGCACACTCTCTTGCCTGGGATTATGATGATTGTCATCACTACATTTAGTCGTTTGAGTGCAGAGTGGGGGCCACGTAAGAGGAGTGCTCTAATGCAAGTGCACTGGTTTAGGATAATTTTAGATGAGGGGCATACTCTTGGCTCAAGTCTGAGCTTAACAAACAAGTTACAAATGGCTATTTCACTGGTTGCTTCAAATCGATGGATACTAACTGGAACTCCAACACCTAACACTCCTAACATCCAACTTACGCATCTACAACCATTGCTAAGGTTCCTTCATGAAGAAGCTTATGGGCTGAATCAAAAGTCATGGGATGCCGGCGTGCTTAGGCCGTTTGAGGCAGAGATGGAAGAAGGCCGATCTCGTCTGTTGAATTTACTTCAGAAATGCCTTATTAGTGCTAGAAAGGTAGATTTACAAAGTATTCCACCATGCATCAAGAAAGTTGTTTTACTAGATTTTAACGAGGAACATGCTAGAAGTTACAATGAATTGGTACTCACTGTTCGGCGTAATATATTGATGGCTGATTGGAATGACCCTTCACATGTGGAGAGTCTACTGAATCCAAAACAGTGGAAATTTCGTAGTGAAACTTTAAAAAAATGTCAGGCTTTCATGCTGTGTTGCTGGCCATATTAAAGTTATACACGCTGGAGAAGATATTCAGGAAGCAATGGATCTGTTAGTACAAAATGGTTTAGATTCTACTTCAAGGGAGTATACCTCCATAAGATACAGTCTCCTGTATGGTGGTCACTGTGTCAGGTGCAAGGAATGGTGTCGCCTTCCTCTCATTACTCCATGTCGACATCTGTTGTGCCTTGGTTGTGTTTCCTTAGACAAGACAAAATGTACATATCCTGGCTGTGATAACTTATATGAGATGCAGAGTCCTGATACAATGGCACGGCCAGAAAATCCTGAACCAAAGTGGTCTGTACCGAAAGATCTTATTGAGTTACAGCCTTCATACAAGCAGGATTCAGGGTTCCCATGCTTTAAAGGTGGTATACGGATGATACAGAACTTACAAAAGCGATTCCATCTCAAATTAACAGAAGAGCAATGTGTCTCCTTGGTGCTTGAAGAACACGGCAGTATGATTATTATCAGAGAGATTTTATAAAGAAGCTCTGTCGGTGTATCCATTTTTAATTATGTTGTGGAAATGTTACTATAAGTTGTTTCTGTCTATAGGAGATGCATAGAAAAATTGCTGAAGAAGCAGAGCGAAAACGGCTCGAAATTGAGGTTGAGCTGAAGAAACAATTCATCACTTATCCAAGCCATATTGCAAGCCATGTGAATATAATCTCAGTCATGTTACACTCCAAGCTGATCCCACAAGCCTTCCACGTCACTTAAGTGAGCTGAAAGAAGAAAAAGCAAAACGACATAAAAAAAAAGGTCTCAGTATGAGTCACGCAACTTGCATCAATGAATTCATTTGAAACGCAGTGAAAGTTGCAAAACGGCAAATCATTTTTTCTCACTCTCAATCTATAAATACCACACATACCTCATTCATTTCTTCAAGCTTTTCAAGCCAATTAATCCCTGCAGAATTTTCATCATAACTCCTCAATTTTCCTTCAAATTTCACTTTCAAAAATCATCCTCAACCGTTCTTCAAATTTCATCAGATTCAACTCTCTTTTCATTCACAACCTTTCCACATAAAAACTCACCATACTTCAACTTCTTCAACACAACAATCAGAATTTCGCAGTCCAGAAGAAAAAGAAAGAAGAAGAGAGTTTCGATTTCATCATTTACCTGAGTTTGAAGGTAGATTAAGCTTCACCGTCAGTTTCGATCCGTTACTTTTTGTTGTTTTTCTTTGAATTGTTGGTACCATTGTGAAGAGCTCTTGATTTCGATTGCAACCGCGTATTTTTCGCTTCCCGCCGTTCTGATTTGAGCAAGGTTGGAATCATAGCTATGGTGAATAGTGCCGCGTGTGAAGAAGAAGAAGATGATGTCTTATGATTTTCTTTTTTCCTTTTCACTTTTCATTTGTTTTCAATTATATTTTTCTTTTTTTCATTTTTTTATTTTTCTTTTTCTTTGTTTAAAATTTTTTGGCCGTGTAGGCCTTTTTTTTTTTTTTGTTTTTTGCTATTAATTTGTTTTTTTTCTAAATAATACTTTTGAAAAAGAAAAAAAAACTCTTAAAAATTATTTGAAAATATTTTGGTTTTGGATTAATTGTTGGTTGTTTTGGATTTTGAATTTTTGATAAAATTTCATCAATATCAATGGACTTTGGGTGTCGATTTTACCCACCAAGAGAGGTGATTGATATTGATGATGATTTAATCGATTTAAGATTCAAATTGTGGTTTCTTTTCATTTTAATTCTCTTTCTTCTTCTTTTTATTTTTGATCGATGAAATCTATGGATCATAGATTGTTGATTATCAAGGTTGTTTAATCTTCATTATTTCAAATCTATGGACGAATAATCATTGAGATAATTCTCCTTACTTTGGAATAGTGATAGATTACCTTTGATTAATTGATTAAAAAATCTTGATTATGATGAGATCACTACCTGTTTTCTTTTTGTGTGGCATGTTTTAGGAGAGTGATTTACATATCACTTCTCTAACATGTATTAACACTAATATTTTATTGACCGGCCTCAGATAGTCGTGGTTTCTACATAAACCCGATTACGATTGCTTAACATAGCGCTAAAGTGTCCCTTAATCGGAAAATGATCATTCGTGGCTCAAACTTACGTTTAAAAGTCCAAGTATGTTTAGTTGCTTGTCTTAACTCCAATACCTATGAAAATCATTGTTAGGAGGCTTTTATTCTATCAATCCTCTAATGAATTTTCATTAATCTTGGTCTAAGTGCAAGGATTAATCATCATTGATCATATGTTCTAACCACTAACCACTAATTCACTAACAATATCCTTGTTTAATTTTGTTTATATTCTCTTCTTACTCCTTATTTCTTTACTTTTATGCTTCCATATTATCATTTCATATCATATCTTTGTTTATGTTTATGTCATTTCTCTTTTGTCCACTTGGATCATATCTTGTTCAAAACACTAATAAAGGATAAAAAATCTCTAAAAGACTTGGTGTTGTTAACTTTGTGGTTATGCTCTTGGACTACTCTTAGACCTTGGACTTCATGGACCTTTGGACTTAGAATTAGGGCTCTTATTCCTATGCTTGGAGTATTGTGGATCTTAGCCTTTATTTGGCTCGCTCATTAGCTTATGCTTTAAATCGGATGGAATTCTTTTTTGCTTGCTATGGAGTGTGCTACAAGTCGGTTAGATCTTTCTTACCTCTAGCTCTTATTTTGGTTTCTAAGATAGTCACTTCATCTCCTCCCCTTCTTAAATTTTCAAAACTTTCTCCCTCTTTCAAAACCTTCTTGGTTTCAAACTTCAAAACCGCTTTCGCAATAAAACCTTGACTTTCGTCAAGTGATTTTTAAACTTTGTTTCTTTCTTAATAAAAGTCAATCAATGTTAATCATGCTTTGACCAATTTCAAAAGACATAAAAAATACAAAAACTCATCAACTCTTTTTGTGCCTTTATGCACTTTTTCACTTTAAAACTTTTCATAAAGTTTAGACATGATTCATTTCTATAGTTGAGATGTAAATCTCCTATTCCCCATATTATTAAGACTTTGACATTTTCCACGTTGATGTTGAGTAATAGACTTGTTGATAATCCAAGCAAATCCTCCATCTTTATGTGACGCAGATGTTGTCTTAATACTCGTGGGTGGATAGTCGCAGTTTTCTCCTTGAAATGACGACTTGTCTTTACATCTAAAATCAATCAAAACCAACAAATTTTTGTCATTTGTACCACGAACTACGGGGTTTTGATTCCATATTGCACTTTATGGGTACGTAGGCATGAGACGATAAGTCTCTCCAAACACAAAAATATAAAAAATAATTCTCTTCTCATCTCCCCAATCTCTTTTCAAACAAACCATTTTCAAACCAAAAAGCGTAAATATTTCAAAGGGCTCCTATAGAGTACTATAGATGTTTTGGGTGCTAATACCTTCCCATTGCGTAACCAACCCCCTTACCCCGATCTCTGTCTCGTGCTCTTATTTTAGAACTCTTTGGTTTTGTTCGCTCTTTTTCCTTTCCTTTATTTGGATAAAATAAAAGTGCGGTGGCGACTCTTGTTTTTTTTGAGTTAAGTTAATTAATAACTTACGCTCATGATTTTTACCGCTACAGACAGGGGGTTTTCATTTGAGTCCTATGGGTTGGGCGACCTTTCTAGGGACCACCTTGTTGTGTCTAGATCACACATGTCAGAGGGATATGGGTTTTTGAAGGAAACCAAGACTCTTCATACCTTTTTTTCTCTCACGCACGTCATATTTTTGCACCGACACAAAATTATGCAGATATTCAGTTTATGCAGACTTGGATATTCATATTATGCTGATTTAATTGATTAGATTTGTGCTTGGCTTCGTGAATTGTGTGTTTCATGCCATTTCATCATAACCATTAACATTTTTGCATATGCATAAAACTTTATTTTTTCATACAATGCATCCAATCATACTCATATGCATGTCCTTCATCCGAAAACCACATGCTTACATTGTCCATCATGCCTTGTAGCAAGACGACGACTCGACATCGCTATTTCACCC